TATTGGTTCTATATATGTTGTCTCCGGTGAGTTATGATAATTTGGAAAACTGTAAGCAGGACATGACTGAAGTTGGAAAGAGTTACCATACTCTCCATCTCTTCCAGTGTTTCCTTGGAGTAGTGGTGGTGAACCTATGGTCCTCCAGTGACTCCTGTCATCCTAGCCATTGACCATGCTAGCCTGAGACTGATGGGAATTGCAGTTTAGCAACATCCAGAGGGCCACAGCTTAGACATTCCTGCCTTGGAGAGTGTGCTTTCACATATTCTTCAAGTGGAAACAGTTAATGTTCCAATTAGAACAGGATTTCCCAAACTTGGGTCTCCAGCTGCTGTTGGACTACAGTTCCCATCATCCCTGAACTCTGGTCCTGCTAGCTAGGGATGATGGGAGCTGTAGTCTAAAAGCAGCTGGAGACCCAAATTTTGGAAACATTGCATTCAAATAACAAAGCCAAGAGAACAAATCAGTTTCTCCTAATATATTTTTCTCACCCTGCCTCATCTTTCTTTCCATTGGATAATTCTCAAATTTTATGAATAATGTGCATGTCTCTAACAGCATCCCCTGTACATATGTTAGACCTCATTAAGATTACATAAACTTTCCACCAAAGTCGAAACATCCCACAAAAGATCATTTATATTGGCACAGGGTGAGGATTCAGGATGAGATGGAGACGATGTAGGGGATAAGGACCTGAAAGAAAACTCAATAGGCCACAAACTTTTTTTTACATGTTATAAGCAGGGATACAGGGTGTTGAAGAGAATTCTGAGAGATAGTTTGGTATGTCGGGTTATACTCTGTTTCAAGAGGGGGTGAAAACAAAATCCATAATAAATAATCAACATGGAACTGTCTGTTAATAACATCTGATCCAGGAGAAAGAGACAAGATGATTCAGATTGTCTTTGCTGAGGAATGATCAGGAGTTCAGTGGCTACTCCGTCAACCACTCCAGCTCCATCCATCCTCCTACAAAAGCTCTGAGATATGCCTTCAGAGTTCATAGCATCCAGAACGATGTGTCATATTCCCTCCACTCCATGCTGGTAGAAGAAGAAGAAGAAGAGTTTGGATTTGATATCCCGCTTTATCACTACCCGAAGGAGTCTCAAAGCGGCTAACATTCTCCTTTCCCTTCCTCCCCCACAACAAACACTCTGTGAGGTGAGTGGGGCTGAGAGACTTCAAAGAAGTGTGACTAGCCCAAGGTCACCCAGCAGCCGCATGTGGAGGAGCGGAGACGCGAAACCGGTTCCCCAGATTACGAGTCTATCACTCTTAACCACTACACCACACTATTCTTGCAGGGATGGTGGGCCTCCCCACCACCACCCCAATGTTGCTGGACTATAGCTCCTATCATGACTGACTATTGATCATGTTGGTGGTGGGTGATGGGAGTTGTAGTCCAACAAAATCTAGAGGGCCACAGGTTCTCTATCCCAGCTGCATCCTCTGGCTAGCCCTAGCATAGTCTACTGGGCACTACTGCTTGAAGATCTAGAGGGCCAACTTGATCTAGAGAGCCACTAGTGGCATATTTGCACACAGGGTGCAGCATAAGGAAGCTGTGTGTGTGTGGTTTCTGGAGGATGGAATCAGATCTCAGCAGCACTGTGTACCTGTCTCCTGGAGTCGTGTTGTTGCACAGAGATCTTGGCAACATGTGCTTCATGTATCTTGGCCATGGGCTGCATGGTGACCCACTTCCTTCCCCCTCGTCCCCAATTACGTAGGGTTATGTATTTCCAGTAAACAGTTCTTTTTCTCCTCATGCTTCTCTCAGCACTGAACAGCCTGTGCCCCAAGGCAAGCGACTCCAGCCAAAGAGGGATGCGCCCTTCAGGATTCTGCTAATTGAGTGAAGGGGCAAATGATCTATAGGAAAAAGTTGCATCATTAACTTAATTGAGGGCAAAGCCTAATTAGAGAGGAAACGAAGTAGACAGAGCCAGAGACACAGCAGGCCTTCACGTGAGATGTCAACAAACAGACATTGTAACTAAAACCAGACAGCAACAGCAGGGCTTCATTTACATCGTCAGTTTCAATGCAGAAACATTTGCCATTAGAGAGGAGAGAGACAAACAGACAGAGAACAAGCATTTGGGAGAAGGGGCAAAGCAAAATATTTATGGAAATTGGGTCATCTAGCTACATTTTTTAAAGGGGGGGGGAGAAAGGAACATTTTCTGATGCTAATTAAGAATGATCTCTTGTTCAGGGGACTGAGGTCTGCTCAAACTTACTTTGACTCTATACTTCTGAAGAAATCCAAAGTTTGGATGCTGCAATATACACTAAGTGAGAAATACTCTAGAGACCCAGCGGATGGAAATAAACTGTGGGAATATGCATAGATTAGATGAGTCTACACAGCTCAGCCATACAGCAAGTGCTTTTGATGCCGGAAGGTCCAGGGATCTTGAGAAGCAGAATTAGGAATGATCTCGGCCCTAGTCCATGGGAGACTTTCACTGCTAGATAAAGCAATCCAGGGTAGGATAACCAATTGCCTGACAGGATGGCCTTATGCAGAGCAATTCGGTAACTAAGGCATGCTGGGGCTTCTGACAATGCACCGCTAGCTCCAAGGCCGCTGTCCCCATCCCTTTCCCAAACTCACACCTCAATCTTCTTCCAGGATGCTGGCTTGGGCTTGCTACCTATCCTGTATAATACAGGATTGTCCTGTAATTCAATGTAAAGCGCTACATCCTCTATTGATACAGTTGTGTTCTCTCTCTCTCTCTCTCTCTCTCTCTCTCTCTCTCTCTCTGCTAAGTTTGGGATCCTCTCCAAATGCATGTGTTTGAAAAGGTGTGTGAAATGTCATGTATTTAAGCTCTAAAAGGTAAAAATGAAACGGATTTGTAAAAATATTACATGGAAAAAATACGAGAGACATTACACTTCTATAAAACAAGAAAATCTTAAATAAAAAAAAATAATAAAAGCTAAAAAGGTAAAGGACCCCTGGACGGTTAAGTCCAGTCAAAGGCGACTATGGGGTTGCAGTACTCATCTTGCTTTCAGGCTAAGAGAGCAGGCGTTTGCCCACAGACAGCTTTCCGGGTCATGTGGCCAGCAGGACTAAACCGCTTCTGGCACAACAGGACACCGTGACAGAAACCAGAGCGCACGGAAACGCCGTTTACCTTCCCGCCACAGCGCTACCTTTTTATCTATTTGCATTGCCATGCTTTTGAACTGCCAGGTTGGCAGGAGCTGGGACAGAGCAATGGGAGCTCAGCCTGTCATGGGGATTCAAAGTTCCAACCTTCTGATTGGCAAGCCCAAGAGGCTCAGTGGTTTAATAATGATAATGATAATGATAAAAATTTTATTTATACCCCGCCCTCCCCGGTCAAGACTGGGCTCAGGGTGGCTAACACTGAATATACAGTAAAAACATTAAAAAACAACAACCAAACAAACAGTTGATTAAAATGTAAGTTAGAATACAGCTTAAAATGCAGCTTAAAATGCAATCTCATTTTAGTGGTAGCCCATAGATCAAAGCCATAAGGGGAGAAAATGTCAAATATTCACCAGGACCAACTATCCATGCTGGTCCTACATGGGCCAGCAAAGGGCCGAGGCTTTAGGCCACACTGCCACCCACATCCCTTTATTTAAGCTCTGGGTAGCCAAGCACAGAAAGATTTACGTTTTTGTGTGTGTGACAAATTCCAGAGGGACCATCCTGCAAGACTGCAACAAATTGTAAGGGATCACACCAGATGATTTTTTTAAAAAATTGCCCCCCGACTGCCCCATCCCGCCCTGTCCTGTATTTTGCCAGAGCAAAGGTGGCAACCCTACGTCTCATCTTTCTGGATGCCTGGGGGACCAGGAACTACTGGCATTCCCTTGCTTGGGCCATTGTCTTTCACTAACAGCTGATATCCCTGCTCATTGCAACTCAGAGAACTTGCAATATGCATTCTGACCAGTGGTGTGACTGCTGCCCTGCCAATGGGACTCCGGCTCCATCAGTGAAGCAGCTCTTATGCCATTTCATACAACTCTTCGGCTGTTTTTTGTCCACCTCTAGCTAAAAAGAGGAACACATGACCAGCTGAATAGCTCAGTTGGTTACAGAGTGGTGCTGATGTCCTGAGTTCGAGTGTCTTCAATGTCTTTAAAGATGCTTGAACACAAGACAAAAGGGAGAAACGTGCTAAGAGGAAGGCATGTTTGGCAAACCCTCACCGTGATCAACTCCCGCCCGGAAACCTATGTCCCCACTGTGGAAGGACATGTGGATCCAGAATTGGCCTCCACAGTCACTTATGGACTCACTATTAAGACTGTGTTCATGGAAGACAATCTTACTTGGTTATGAGTGATGGCCAAAGGAAGAAGAAGAAGGTGCTGATGATGCCAAGATTGCAAATTCAATCCCTGTATGGGAAAGCTGCATATTTCTGTACTGCAGGGGGTTTTCAGGGTCTGTTCCAACTCTATGGTTCTGTGATTCTAAGCAGACATGTTTAAACCACATTGCTGTCCTAAGACATACAGAAACATCACTGTGCTGCCATGATATTTTTTTGGGTGGGGATATGAACTGCCCTGAGACTTCCAGGTATAGAGCGGTATATAAATTCAATAAATAACAACAACAATAATAATAATAATTTAGACCCTTCAGCCAAATGGATTGAATGCATCGATTTGAATATGGCTAAATGTTGTATGGATCAGATAATATGTTCAGCATACGCAGAAATAAAAGGAATGAGTAGATACTACACATCTGAACAATGGGGTTACAGACCCTCCAAGTGTCCCTATTTTCCAGGGACAGCCCCAGATTTACATATTTACATATATCTTTCCAGTTTCTGACTTGATCCTGGAATGTCCTGCTTTTCCTTGTTGTTGTTTAGTCGTGTCCAACTCTTCGTGACCCCATGGACCAGAGCACGCCAGGCCCTCCTGTCTTCCACTGCCTCCCGCAGTTTGGTCAAACTCATGTTCATAGCTTCGAGAACACTGTCCAACCATCTCGTCCTCTGTCGTCCCCTTCTCCTTGTGCCCTCCATCTTTCCCAACATCAGGGTCTTTTCCAGGGAATCTTCTCATGAGGTGGCCAAAGTATTGGAGCCTCAGCTTCAGGATCTGTCCTTCCAGTGAGCACTCAGGGCTGATTTCCTTCAGAATGGATAGGTTTGATCTTCTTGCAGTCCATGGGACTCTCAAGAGTCTCCTCCAGCACCATAATTCAAAAGCATCAATTCTTCGGCGATCAGCCTTCTTTATGGTCCAGCTTTCACTTCCTTAGGAAGCTTTTCCTTAGGATGTCCCTATTTTCATTGGATAAATGTTGGAGGGTATGGAGTTATCTGATCCCTGAGCCATCCAAAGGCAGCCCTGTATGGGGAAGTTTTATTAATGTTTAATGTTTTATTATGTTTTTATGTATGTTGGAAGCTGCCCAGAGTACTTGGGGCAATCCAGTCAGATGGGTGGGGTATAAATAGTAAAATTATTATTATGGAATAGGCCGTCCCTATTTTCATCGGAGAAATGTCAGAGGGTATGGGGTTAATCAGTTAAAAGCAATATTCTGGAGACTCATGTGTTATGACCAAAACAACATAACCCACTGCTCACCATTTCGCTAGTGCAACATTATAAAATGGGACTATTCCCACCACAATTTAACTCTGAATTAGTATCTACTGAGAGGCGCTGCAGCAAGCTCATGCCATGTCAGAGGCAGAAATCCCAATGCAAAGTTTTAGGGCCAACTTCACAGCTACAGGAAGACCAGGCTTTGGTCAACTCAATTAAATTTCAAGGCTTTTTGAAGGCTCGGGAAGAATTCAATTGACGTCATGCTTTGGGGGGGATCTTTATCAGTTTACATCATCATTAACGTCAGTGGTCATTCACCCATTAACTGCAGCCGAACTTTAATTGCACCCTATTGTGGCATTTAAGCACACTGCGATGCCAACCCATTGTGAAATTGTTGTGGGCTAGTTTCATGATGCATGAGAACATCCAGTGCACAATGATCATGGGACAACTACAAGATTAGATGTAAGACTCACATGATATGTTAACAAAATTCTTGCATGAAAGGGCACACCTATGAAGGTGGCAAATCTATATAATTATAGTTGCCATGAATTAAAGGGATATTCTTACTTGGGGTGTTTTGTTTAAAGCTGAGATACAAACATCACTCAGCATGCTTTGATGTTCACTCAGATTGATCCTACAACACAATCTATATGGTGTTCTGATCTTGAAAACTTCTTGAAATGTGCATCTGGAACCAGGGCTGGTATTCAGCTAAGTTTTACTCAGAATAGTGTTGACCTCTTGAAATTAATGAACATGACTAAGGTACATCCATTAACTTCAATGGGTCTACTCTGAGTAGGGCTAAGTATCATCATCATCATCATTTTATTTATACCCCACTCATCTGGCTGGGTTTCCCAGCCACTCTGGGCTGCTTACAGCATATCTAAAAACATAATAAAAATATTAAGCATTAAAAAACTCCCAATACAGAGCTGCCTTCAGATGCCTCCTAAAAGTTGTGTAATTCTTTATCTCCTTGAGATCTGGAGGGAGTTCCACACTGAGGGTGCCACTCTACCTGGTTCCCTAACGTCGCTTCTTGCAGTGAGGGAATCAGCAGAAGACCCTCGGAGGAGGACCTCAGTGTCCAGGTTGAACGATGGGGGTGGAAACGCTCCTTCAGGTACACTGGGCTGAGGCCATTTGGGGCTTTAAAGGTCAGCACCAACACTTTGAATTGTGCTTGGAAACATACTGGGAGCCAGTGAAGATTCTGTAGGACTGGCGTTATATGGTCCCAGCAGCCACTCCCAGTCATCAGGATTAGTTGTAGTTTCTGAGTCACCTTCAAAGGTAGCCTCATGGAGAATACCACCGTAGGATCCTGCATTGGGTGGGAGTGGGGTTTTACATGAATTTCAAAGATTTAAATAGTGGTGGTCAAAATAATTTATTCCTTTATGCAACTACAGCAGCCCAAATGCTGTATGCACAAAAATGGAGAGAAGGAGCAGTCCCAGCGAGGGAGGAGTGGCAGTTGAAGTTGAATGGAATATGCAGAATTGGCGAGTCTAACCAGCAGAATTAGAGAACAAGAGCAAAGAGTATACAAGGAGGACTGGAAAATGTTTGTAGAATATATAAAGAATCACTATACAGTGGTACCTCGGGTTACATACGCTTCAGGTTACATATGCTTCAGGTTACAGACTCTGCTAACCCAAAAATCGTGCTTCAGGTTAAGAACTTTGCTTCAGGATGAGAACAGAAATTGCGTGGCAGCAGCAGGAGGCCCCATTAGCTAAAGTAGTGCTTCAGGTTAAGAACAGTTTCAGGTTAAGTACGGACCTCCGGAACAAATTAAGTACTTAACCCGAGGTACCACTGTAAACAGGTCAAAACGTTGGCAGGTTTAGTGGAAACTCGGCATTGTAAGTTATGTTGATATAAAATGAGATAGAGAAGATACGGATTAACTTGAATATGCAGTAATAATGGAAGCTTGGAGGAAACCACAGAAGGGGGGAAGGGAAGCTGAAGTTTAATGCATTGTTATTTTCAGTGTGGAAAATTGCAATGATGAAAATTATAAATAAAATCTAGAGAGAGAGAGAGAGAGAGAGAGAGAGAGAGAGATGGTAACCCATTTGTTCACGACACACAACAAAACCTACTATTGCCATTACAATCTGAGCATGGTATTCCTGCAATTTCTTATATGGGATGGCATTCCATTTAGATATTATATTTCATTTAGGCATTATATAACAGGGAAGTGGCTTTGAGTGAACATTCCTAGTTTTCCTGAAGTGGTTATCTACCCTGTTTTCCAAACACTCTGTGCTTTAACAAGAAGCAATTGTTTCCTGGAGTTTGATGAGGGCTGAGTTGACTCCAGGACATATAAAAGGACCCGGAGTGGTCCTTGGAGAGGCAAAACACAAAATCTTTCACATATAGTTTGACAGACACAGGTACTGATCCATATCTGCACAGGGGGTTGTTTTCAGACTCTTCTTTTTACTACAGCCCCCAACACCATGCATAAAGATGTCCCAATGTTCAAGGCAAGCCTTAGGAGAATCAGTAGTAACCAGTGGAAGGCGAAATCATCAACCCCAGTTATTTTTGAATTCCGACTTTATCTGCGTCCTCGTTATTCGTAATATTCACCTTATTAACTCAATGAGACAATGTTCCGAATTAAACCGATGATATTTCAGCCCAGTCAACATATGAGAAAGTGCTGGTTTGGTTTCTGGAAAAGGAAGAAAAGGAGAAGGAAAACTAAATTCCTGACATTCTGTCCCCAATTGTGCCCAGGAGCAAAACAAGGCTTTATTCACCTGGGTCAAAGACCCATTTTGGTTAAAAAAAAAAACAAAACAAAACACCATGCCCATTTGCGTACATACACACATAGGCTGGGAGCCTCAATGGCGCCCCTCTGAAGGCTTCATATGGGGCCCAAAAAACTGACTCGCTTCCCCCACCCCCCGTGGCTACTGCTCTGATTGTACTTACAGATATTTGAGGCAGAGGGTTGGAAGGGACCCTGAGGGTCATCTAGTCCAACCCACCACAATGCAGAAATCTCCTCATCCAATTGGATGGTTATCCATCCAATCAGAAACGTCCATATTGGACTGATCCGATGGCTGTTTCTTCATGATGTGCAGAAATGCCAGCGCAGGAGTGAACATTCCACAGTACTAGCAATTAACAGGCTTTGACAACAGAACATCCTAAATATTCCTAAAGCCAATACATCAAACATTTCCTACCAATATATTCCCTCTCTCATTCTCTCCCAGCCATCTCCCTCTCTCATTGATAAAAATTGAGTTGATTAAAGAACTATTTTCGAGTTCATTTAACTTTGTCTCCCACCAGAAATCCCCAGAGACAACTTTTCTTTCGGGCATAAAGTTTGCTGTAAAGCTGGAACGAAAAGGAAATCCTGCTTGGGCTATACATGAGTACAATATCTGAAATGTTAACACATTTATTATCTGTTGTCACTTCCCTATGAATGCGTCTTTGTGAATACATGTTAAGACCTATAGCCCCCTCATTAATCACTGCTCTGTGAAGAAAAAGAAAATTGCTGGTTAATTATTTCTTTTGAAACATTTCATTTTTTTTTTTAAAAAAAAAACATCCTACCCCATTGGATCAATTGTGAAATACCGCAAGTATTTGCACTGAGCTTCTTAAAGAAAAGAGATGCAGAATGTACATTTGCTATCAAATTTTAAGAGCTAGTATATAGAAACATCTTTTGTACTGATTGTAAGATTTCCCCCATATCAACTTCCCAGGGTACTTCCCAGGGTTTAACAGAGCAATCCAAACTACAGTGGTACCTCGGGTTAAGTACTTAATTCGTTCCAGAGGTCTGTTCTTAACCTGAAACTGTTCTTAACCTGAAGCACCACTTTAGCTAATGGGGCCTCCTGCTGCTGCTGCGCTGCCGGAGCACGATTTCTGTTCTCATCCTGAAGCAAAGTTCTTAACCTGAAGCACTATTTCTGGGTTAGCAGAGTCTGTAACCTGAAGCGTATGTAACCTGAAGCGTCTGTAACCCGAGGTACCACTGTATAGGAAGCCAGTGTTGGTTACACGAGAGTAAATTATGCCCCTGGAATTAAACCCAGTTTCAAACTCTGTTCATCAGTGGGGCTACTGCTGAGCCTGGCAGAGGGAAAACGAACTTTTAAAATAGAGTTTCTAGGTCACATGACCAAGCTGAAAGGACTGTGGTAAGTTCTCCATTGCCCCATCCCTATCCCAGGGGATACACACTTGTTTTGAGACTTGCCCTGACCTTGGCTCAGGTTTCTAAGCCCCAGTTGACCTGGCTGAGCCCCACCTGAGGCAAGATGGAGGACTTATACCGGCATATCCCCAGGATAGCTCAGTCGGTGGAGCATGAGACTCTTAATATCAGGGTTGTGGGTTTGAGCCCCACGTTGGGCAAAGGATTCCCACATTGCAAGGGGTTAGACAAGATCATAGCTGTCAACTTTCCCCTTTTTTAAAGGGATATTCCCTTATTCCGAATAGGATTCCTCGCAAGAAAAGGGAAAGGTTGACAGCTATGGACTAGATGAGCCTTGTGCTTCCTTCCAACTCTCTCTCTCTCTCTCTCTCTCTCTCTCTCTATATATATATATATAATTTTTATTGATTTTAACATATAAATTATAAAGTGTACCACAGAACTTATCACTTATACAATCTTTTTGGACTTCCATCAGCACCTCTGATGATCCACCGTTTTAACCACTTTTTATGCATTTGCGTGTGTAGGTCCCCAGGCCACCCCTCAAATAACTTCACACATAACACGTAATTTTAGTTTTGGTTTTTGGGCACTATTTTGGCCACAACTTTATTAAAATACAAAATCAGTGAGTGGTTGTTTAGACATTGGTTATGACTATCTGTCCCCCCGCCTGGGACAGAACTGACATCCCGAGGTCCGATCGGTAGCCAGTAGAAGGGAAAGTCAAACTTGGGGTCATTTGAGCTAAGCGTCGGACCCACGCCGCTCACCCCAGCAGCTCCCCGAAAGCTTGCCGGCCCTGGTCCCATGACAGGGATTGGGTGGCCCTGGTCCCATGACAGGGATTGGACGAAATCGTGGCAAGCCCCAGGATTCCTTTAACGGAATTCCCTTCAGCGCAATTGGAGGGGCAGGCACAGCCTATCCTGACCCCTCCACCACCAGCATATTATAACCAATGCCTAACCGCAACCTTACAAGTTGTGACGAATTGCTGAGTAGTAGGCAAAAACCAAATGGCCCAGCCAATCACCAAATGGCAAAATTCCTACTAGGCCCCTACGCCAAGGCAGACGACCCCATGACAGGCAAAGCAAGGTCAACCGGAAAAGAGGGCGGGCGGGCGGGTAATCCGATGCACTCTGCAAAGAGAAAGAGAAACCAGAGTGCACCAATATTTAAAGACTATGGTCCCACCCACCCAATTTGCAGCATACAATTTGCCCCAGCAACCCGGTTACCCAATCATAGTGCCAGGCAACAACTATTAACCTGCCTGGCAACAAGAGGCCTGGCCTGGTGGCCCACATCGCAACACGTGCTCTCATTTATTGGAGAACACACTTTCTAAACTTTATATTGCCTTTACATCTCTTAACAAATCATCCTTCCCCTTACCCATTTTTGCAATAATTCCAATAATACTCCTCACAAAACTTCTTGCAAACCTACAAACTTCATCTGATCTTCACAAATACTTTTCAGATAGTCCGTAAATTTACTCCAGTCTTCCGTGAATTTCTGGTCCCACCAGTTTCGAATCCTTCCTGTTAGTTTATCTAGTTCTGCATAGTCCATTAGCTTCATCCTCCATTCTTCAATCGTCGGTAATTCTTCTTGCTTCCATTTTTGGGCCACTAATATTCTTGCTGCTGTTATTGCATACAAAAAGAGCTTACATTCCTTTCTATTTATATCACTCCCAACAATGCCCAGTAAAAATGCTTCTGGTTTCTTTATAAATGTATACTTAAACATTTATTTCATCTTATTATATATCATCTCCCAGAAGCTTTCCTTCCAACTCTCCAAGGTCTGTCTCTGAACCTTGACTGGATGTAAGTAAGACAGCGGGCAAGTAGGACAAAGGGCAGGCAGAGGTTGGTGGCACAGCTACACGAACACCCTACTTTCCAACCAACGATGGTCAAATAGCTCAGAGTAAGCTGCTGATAACGCCAAGGTTGCAGGTTCGATCCCCGTATGGGACAACTGCATATTCTTGCATTGCAGGGGGCTGGACTAGATTATCCTTAGTGGCCCTCTATATTTCTAAGAATTCTATTAATTCCCTTCTAGTGTCTGTAGGGGACGTGGGTGGCACTGTGGGTTAAACCACAAAGCCTAGGACTTGCCAATCAGAAGGTCGGCGGTTCGAATCCCCGTGACAGGGTGAGCTCCCGGTGCTCGGTCCCTGCTCCTGCCAACCTAGCAGTTCGAAAGCACATCAAAGTGCAAGTAGATAAATAGGTACTGCTCCGGCGGGAAGGGAAACGGCGTTTCCGTGCGCTGCTCTGGTTCGCCAGAAGCGGCTTAGTCATGCTGACCACATGACCCGGAAGCTGTACGCCAGCTCCCTCAGCCAATAAAGCGAGATGAGCACCGCAACCCCAGAGTCGGTCACAACTGGACCTAATGGTCAGGGGTCCCTTTACCTTTAGTGTTTGTAGGCCATCCATGACAGTAAAAAAAAAAAAAAAAATCAGGCCCACCTTGCAATTCTATATACACTACGCAGTCTTCTGTGGATGACATTCCCCATTAAAGTGATGTTACTAATTTATCTATCAACCCATCGGATGGTTCATTCATTTATTTATATATTTATGCCAGGTGAAGCTTCTCAAGGTGCCCTCATGTGGTAAGTTCTGGTATTTATAGCTTCAGGGAGATCGAGGAAAAGCTCTACTTCTTTCCAATGTAGTGAATATCAGTGGAAATACTCTAGAATAGGTGATCATGTAGTTTATTCCAACCACTGGATTATACTTAAATGCTGGCCTGCGCGTATCAGATTTCAAAGAACAATTTCCCTGTAAACCAAAAGTCTGGCAGATAGATAAATATGTGTACAGACAGCTATCCCAAAACATTTTTTACCCATTGAAATAATGTTGATGAGGCAATACTCTTGATGGGAGAAAAGTCTTTATTTCAAATCTTTATTTTAACTTGCTCTGGAGAAAAGGGAAAAAATAAAAGTAGCAATAACCTGTTCATGGGATGATTGCATTGAATTAATATTTCTGAGTGCTTTTCTTTCCCTATAATTAATTTGTAAAGAGTGCTGTGAATCATACCTCTGTGAGGGGTAAATTATGGTTCCCATGATTCCTTGGGGGAAGTCATATGATTTAAGTCATATGATCCAACAAGGAGCTTATCCAATGCTTTTGAAGAACAAATGTAGGGCTGCCATATGTCCTCTTTTTCCAGGACACGTCCTCTTTTCCATGGGTAGAGTCGTCATAGCGATCCACAGCTAAAAGTTGTTGTTTAGTCGTGTCCGACTCTTTGTGACCCCATGGACCAGAGCACGCCAGGCACTCCTGTCTTCCACTGCCTCCCGCAGTTTGGTCAAACTCATGCTGGTAGCTTCGAGAACACTGTCCAACCATCTCATCCTCTGTCGTCCCCTTCTCCTTTTGCCCTCAATCTTTCCCAACATCAGGGTCTTTTCCAGGGAGTCTTCCCTTCTCATGAGGTGGCCAAGTTACTGGAGCCTCAGCTTCACAATCTGTCCTTCCAATGAGCACTCAGGGCTGATTTCCTTCAGAATGGATCAGTTTGATCTTCTTGCAGTCCATGGGACTCTCAAGAGTCCCCTCCAGCACCATAATTCAAAAGCATCAATTCTTCGGCGATCAGCCTTCTTTATGGTCCAGCTTTCACTTCCATACATCATTACTGGGAAAACCATAGCTAAAAGTAGAAGTCGGCAAAGGTGTCCTCTTTTTGCTCTTCAAAAGATGGCAACCCTAAAATAGTCAGCATTAGTCATGTTGCCAAGTTCTTGGAGCCAAATCAGGAATAGTGTATGTGCAAGTCTGGGGGTGGTACATGGCAAACAGCCAGTGGCGTTGTATCTCTCCCATTTGACCAGCCCAAATCAATGCAGGGCCTATATGCTGGTGACACTGAATGTAAGACCCTCAGTAGTGCTACAGGGGAGATACCAGAAAACACCATTCATGGAGAGATCATGCCCCGTGGACAGACAAATACAATCAGTTGTGCATATTCTTTTGCGCTGTCCCTGGTGTCAGACAATTCAATCTCAGTTTATTAATCAGTTGGTTGCTAGTATGGAGTGGAATTCAGACAAATGAAAGGTAGCTTTCTTTACCTTTACCCAGGATGAGATTGTAGCCAGGTTTCTGCAACATGCAATGAGGATTCATAAATGCTATACAACACTAACTTAAGTGTTAGATGTAGTCTACCTCTACCTCTCTTTCAAATCGGAACCAGTGAAGGTGGTGAAGGTCCTGTGTGAGTGCCTGGAGGCGGTTGGAGGATGGATGGCAGCTAATGGATTGAGGTTGAATCCTGGCAAGACAGAAGTACTGTTATTGGGGGACAGGGGGCGGGCAAGTGTAGGGGACTCCCTGGTCCTGAATAGGGTAACTGTACCTCTGAAGGACCAGGTGTGCAGCCTGGGAGTCATTTTGGACTCACAGCTGTCCATGGAGGCACAGGTCAATTCTGTGTCCAGGGCAGCTGTCTACCAGCTCCATCTGGTATGCAGGCTGAGACCCTATCTGCCCACGGACTGTCTCGCCAGAGTGGTGCATGCTCTGGTTATCTCCCGCTTGGACTACTGCAACACACTCTACTTTGGGCTACCTTTGAAGGTGACCTGGAAACTACAACTAATCCGGAATGCGGTAGCTAGACTGGTGACTGAGAGCAGCTGCTGAGACCTACATTGGCTCCCAGTACGTTTCCAGGCACAATTCAAAGTGTTGGTGCTGACCTTTAAAGCCTTAAACCAGCCTTTCTCAACCTGTGGGTCCCCAGATGTTGTTGAACTACAACTCTCATCACCTCTTGCTAGCAAAGCCAGAGCTCAGGGATGATGGGAGTTGTAGTCCAACAACATCTGGGGACCCACAGGTTGAGAACCGCTGCAACGGCCTTGGCCTAGTTTTGCTTTGTTTTTGATGAGTGGTTTTTTGTTTGTTGTTCAACCCTACTGAAATCTTGTACATATACCAATAAAGGTTTGAGAATCTGGTAGTTACCTTACATTTAAAGCGGTATCATTCTGCTGTGAATTTTGCTGCTTGGAAGTGCATTAACTCCTTTCTGACTCAAGTTATGCCAACGTTACACAGAACTGAGCAGCCGAGATCGCAGAGGCCTTGCAATCAAAGCTTTGTTACCTGCTTGCATTAAAGATCAGACCAATGGAACACTCCACTTTTTATAAGCTTCAGCTTTATTATTGTAACCCACCACCACCACCACCACCAAAAAAGAAGGAAAAGTTCATTTCAACATTTGTGATTTATAGAGAAAAGCTTAGTCGTTTCCACAAAAGCCTCAAAGGGGGAAACGCTCAAACAGTAGGTCAAACCTTCATTCACATGTTGTGTAATAAAAGGCTGACACTGGCTTTTGAGTTCTGCTTCCAGTCACAAACAATAGCAATTGCAGAGCAAGACTAATAATAGGATTTAGCATAAATCCGCCACAGGAAGTGAACAGTTGTACTGGCAAATAATTAGCCGAGGGAACGTTTTGGGGCAACATCAGGATACCGCACTGATTTTTTTAACGGTTTTGATCACCGCCGTTGTGACCAAGGAAAGAGAGGTGGAGAAGGAATTACAGCAAAGGAAAACTCAAAACTTTTAAAATCAGAAAATAGACTGCGGTATAAAATTACAGTTTAAGGTTGCACTAATTACGTTGTCTGATAGGTAAAGGTAAAGGGACCCCTGACCATTAGGTCCAGTCGTGACTGACTCTGGGGTTGCGGTGCTCATCTCGCTTTATTGGCCGAGGGAGCCGGCGTACAGCTTCCAGGTCATGTGGCCAGCATGACTAAGCCGCTTCTGAGGAACCAGAGCAGCGCATGGAAATGCCGTTTACCTTCCCACCGAAGCGGTACCTATTTATCTACTTGCACTTTGTGCTTTCGAACTGCTAGGTTGGCAGGAGCAGGAACCGAGCAATGGGAGCTCACCCCGTCACGGGGATTCGAACCGCCGACCTTCTGATCGGCAAGCCCTAGGCTCTGTGGTTTAACCCACAGCGCCACCCGCGTCCCTACGTTGTCTGATAGCAACACGCTAAACATATATGGATCAAAAATAGCACAACTGCTTTGCATCCTTTAATATTCTCAAGTAAACCAAACAAAGAATTCAATTGAACATTACCTTGAACGTATCTTTATATAAAAAAAACCTCCACTTTTCAATACATTTCTTTGATGCTTCTGTAATAATTAAAGCTATTTAAGAAAGGTGCTTTCCAGGTTTTATTGAACCATTGAAATAAATCCAATCATTTGGGGGAAAGTTCCGTTTAGCAAGAATGACAAGTCTTGCTGCTGATATAAGAGCAGTTTTGAGTTCTGGATTTTCATGATTAACCATTTGTTTTAACCATTCATCATTAAGCATTTACTTTACCTAAGAAGTAACCGGGTATTTTTGAAATATTGCAACCAGTCATTGGGTTGTATTCAATGTTAATTCTATTGAGAGGAACCCATTGGAATTAATGGACATGACTAACTTAAGCCCATTAACTTCAGTTGGTCTATTCTGGGTAGAACTTAATCGCATACAACCTTTAGGTTTTATTTCAAGGAGTTCCTTCTGCTACTGGCTAGAAATCTGATGGCATCTCCAGAACACATGTAAAATATCTGTTCTGAGGTACTGATCTTTCCAACATTCTTATCCTGATGCTCATATACTTTCTTCACTCAAGTAGGTGCCAAATACCTCTAAAACTCTAAAAGCTTTCTTTAAACATTGTTGGAATTGTACTTTTTAATAATATAGCCAACGCCATTCTTCTTCCATAATTGACTCATCCAAATCCTGTTGCTATTTCTGTTCAAAACCACAAACAACCAGTTCCATTTCTTGAAGAGTTTTATACCACTGAGGCCACAATGCTAACCTCGTTTACCTAGGAGTAAGTCCAATGGAAATTAGAACTCACTTCTCAGTAGACATGGTTAGGATCACAGGGAGGCATTAGCTCTTTTGTTCAGGAACGCAAAGTAGAAGTTCTGCTTCTGTACCTTTAAAGAACAGTAGGGTTTTGTTTCCTTTTGAACTCATGAATCTGGAATCCTACTCTAGTCTTAACAGCAAAAAGATACTGCGTGTGGGTGGGAATTTTTTTATTTTTTTTAATAGAAGTCCCCCTCTCTCCCTTTCTCTCTCAAATCTCTCTCTTATCTTTTACTGCGAATTCTTTTTAATTGCAAGGTGGATTGTGTTTATTTTGTGCAGCTAACAAGTGGGTTCAAAGCAATACTTTGATCTTGAACCCCTGCCAGATTCCTAAAGCCCCCCCCCCCCCATGAGGCCGCTGCAGCCCAAAGCAGACCTGCATTCACAAAGCCTGCCTAATTTGCAAAGGAATGTCAAAATTCCTGGCACAGCCCGGGACCAGGATGCATGTGGAGGCGACAGATCTTTTCCAAACACAGAGAGGTCTATTTATTTTCCTGTTGCTCCTTTCATTTGTCACCGTTCTTCGAGACATATTTAGAGGTACGGCAAACAGCAGCCAATCTTCACTCTCTGGTCCGGCTGAAACCATTTTGGAAGGCAAGAGCATTCTGGAGTAGATAATTAATAATTATATTTCTACTTCCCTCTTGCACCTACATATTGGTTCCTACATATGTGGCTTCCAACAGGTCAAACCCATCCCAAAGATATGCAGTGTCAAATGGGGAGATGCGGTGGGGAGAAAAGCAAGTGTTTGAGGCATAATAATAATGATCATAATTTATTATTTGTACCCCGCCCATCTGGCTGGGTTTCCCCAGCCACTCTGGGCGGCTTCCACAGAGACCAAAAATACACAAAAATGTCACAGGGCTGCCTTAAGATGTCTTCTGAATGTCAGGTAGTTGTTTATCGCTTTGACATCTGATGGGAGGGCATTCCACAGGACGGGCGCCACTACCGAGAAGGCCCTCTGCCTGGTTCCCTGTAGCTTTGCTTCTCGCTATGAGGGAACCGCCAGAAGGCCCTCAGTGCTGGACCTCAGCATCCGGGCAGAACGATGGGGGTGGAGATGCTCCTTCAGGTATACTGGGCCGAGGCCGTTTAGAGCTTTAAAGGTTAACACCAACACTTTGAATTGTCCTCAGAAACGTACTGGGAGTCAATGTAGGTCTTTCAAGACCGGTGTTATGTGGTCTCGGTGGCCGCCCCCAGTCACCAGTCTAGCTGCCGCATTCTGGATTAGTTGTAGTTTCCGGGTCACCTTCAAAGGTAGCCCCACGTAGAGTGCATTGCAGTAGTCCAAGCGGGAGATAACCAGAGCATGCACCACTCTGGCGAGACAGTCCGCGGGCAGGTAGGATCTCAGCCTGCGTACCAGGTGGACACACATCTTGCCTCAATTTTGCGGCTTGCTTTGGTTCTTGTGTTCTGCGTTGCAATTTCCAATTTATTTCAGGCATGGGGAATCCTTTTTATCCCCAAAGCCATATCCCTTCTAGGGGTTGCATGCCACTGGTGGGCAGGGCAAGAGACAAAAGTTTGAGGACCAATGAGTGCAAGCTTTTCTTTTGTACCGTAAATTAACTTGCATGCCAAGACCCTGTGACCCTGCAGTCCCCAGGAAGAAAATAACCAGACAAGACAACAGAACATAGTTTTGGGGGTCAAATAGGCCAC